ATATTGAAATTTATGACCACCATTTGCAATATCAAAATTTAAAAAAAGCAAATGATGTGCATAAAGCAACAGAAAAATTTTAATTGAATTTATGTCAACGTTTACATTATATTTTTAACTTAAAGTCTTCAATATTGTTTGTAGTCTTCCGATTCAAGAAGAACATGTAGGAACTAGAGCAGTAGTGATATTGACAACTTAAGTGAATGAGTAATGTATTGTTATAAAACTAAAAACAAAAGAATTTATAAATTAGAATACAGAAGCGAAAACAGTAACTTACGAGAAATTAAAAATAAAGTTAGCATTTCACGTATAACTTTTTTTTTTAAATGTGGTCCTTTTAACGTTTTTTTTTCTTAAAAATTACGATGCTTTTTCTAGATGTAAAATACTAAACAACGTTTTTATTCGGTTAGAGTCAGAATATGATGTGCTTATAAAAAATGTGTCAAGAAAAAGTTCTTTACTTTGTTAATTTTTTAAAACTAGGAATTTTTTTTTATTATCTATATCCGTAAAAAACGATAAATGTTACTTTGTATTTAAAAAAGTGTAGCTACTACAAGGAAAACCTAAAGATGTTAAACCTTACATTTATTGTTAAGAACTAAATTAAATTTTTTTTATTAATTCAGATTTAAAGATTCACTACGTATATGATTGTATGAAAAATTTAAAAGTTATTTACAATAGGGATGGTGACCTAGCAAACTAATCTTAAATGGCGTAACCAGTACTTGGATTCTAGCCAATGGGATGTAAAAACGGTTTCTGCACAAAATTACACTCACATAAATGTAGTCTGCAGTGCATAAGTACACTTTTAACCATAAACCATTCTCATGTCTTATTGACTAGAGTATAAGTACCGGTTGCGCCACCTGAGATTAGTTTACCAGGTCGACATCCCCATATTGTTAAATACATTTTATTACATGACTTTCTTTCAAATTAAAACAGTTGGGAGTTGGTACATTTTTTGTTGGCACGAAGTTGATTGCTGACTTTTTATTACAATTACTTGCTTTGGTTTAAATTTTAATAAATACTCGAAAAAATGAGAATTTAACAAAGAATAAAATATATTTTACATACAATTTTTAAATTATCTGTTTAAAGATTGAATTTCCTATATTCACAAGATACTAACATTTTTATAAAATTCAAGATGTCAATTAAAAACTAATTAACTCTTAGACCGTAATGCATCCCCCGAAAAGATTTTTGTTTAATTTATTGATATTTATCATTCTTCAACATTTACCGCATTAAAAGTATTTGATATATTAATTTGTTCTGTAAATTTTAAACGAATTTTAATCCCTGTAAGTCATACAATAGTATCAACATTAAGAAGTAATCATATTTTGGTATAAGTTTTGTCAGATCACTGATTTTTCTTTTTTAACAACCGATGTGCTGAAATATATAGATCATGGTCTTTAAAAAAATTTAACAAAAATCTTCATGTATTATAGATATACTTATATGTGAAGATATTTATTAAACGTTTCTCAATGGAAAATGTAATAAAAAATTTTTATTCTACCGCACTTACCTTTTAATGAATTTAACACATTATCATTGCTAAGGCGGTGGTATCGACATGAGTAATGTTTAATAAATGCAAATTCGTAGAATTTAATATCAAAATAATTGAACACTGAAAAATTTACTCTATTACTCAAGCAATTGTAAGCACAACCCTTCAAAGAAGCTTTAAGTATAAATAAGTTATAAAAAAACTATGTGTATATGATTGTTATTATACGTTAGTTCTTATATTCATGATCCTGGACGGTGGTAAGCATTGGGTAAGCAGAAAAAAAAAATTATGTGTGTGTGTATATTTATACACATCTTTCTATAATATAGTTTTTTTTTTATACTATAGTGCTTTACGTGCGGCTCCTATAAAGGGCACTACACAGGGGCACTTAGCACTTTTGTAGAATGAAGGAAAGATGGATGGGAGGTGGTAAGGGGAAGTTAGGCAATTATGCTGCGAGAAGGTCGCCTAAGCCCTCCTCGAGGAGCATAGCGTGGTGAAAAAGCACATGTGAAAATTCACGGAGGTACTTGCCCGAAAAAGTCGCACTGGCCGGGAATAGAACCACAGTCTCCCACGTGCCAATCCACGACCTAACCGACTAAGCCACCGCGCGCTCCTATAATATAGTTATTTTAGTGGGGCTGTACACCCCCCCCCCCCATTGTACCTTTACAGAGCCTCCACAGCCCTCTATAGACCTCCACAGCTCTCATCAGCCCCCCACAATACAAGGAAAAATTCTTAATATTTCTCTGTGAATTTAACCTAACTAAATTTGTGTGAACTTCTTCACACCCTCCGTACCCCCACAGTCCCCACTTAAATTTGGTAGGTCCCACAACCCTCTTACGATTCTCCCCACAGAAACTTAATAGATATTAATTCTTTTTTATTAAAAATATCTAAAAGAATGGTACATATAGGTTAATTTGATCGCCCCACAGCCCTCTATCATATTTTCCCACAAAAACTTAGAACGTATTGATAAGATACTTTATCATATGGTTATTATGTAATACTCACGGTCACTGCTTCTCCACACCCCCTAACTAAACTTAAAATTTTTTGTCAGATTACTTTATGATACAGACATGACGGGCTAATTTGCCATCCCCCTTGATGTAAAAATTAGAATTTTTCTTAGATATCTGTTATTTTTAGATTTGTCAACACCCTACCTCCACTGTACACTAACTTCATTATGTGTTTATTCTATTTCATTAGTTTCTGACGAAATAACAATGACTTTGATTATAAAAAAGAACTTTTTACATAAACATAGTTGACGAGGTGGAAAGTCTCAATGGTATATCGGATTACATTACGTTTGAATCCTTTTATATAGTACAAATAGTATTTTTAACATACTTCACACAACTATTTATCGACAATGATGGCACGCAAAGCGCGCAAAGACCAGCTTATAACAAATAATTAATTTGTCAAAAGTATTGCTAAGATTATAAAAATTATCATATTTTAATATTGTGTCTTAAAATTTAACGCATCAATATTTTTGATTTAAAAGAAACACTTATTACTCGTCGATAAAAAATTGTAAAACAAAAAAAAAAGAGAACCTTTTCAATTTTATAAATTAATTCTTAACTGGAAATAGGGGTGTGCGCGCGGAGCGCGCAGCGAGCTTAGCCCTACTGGTTTATATTTAAGCAGTTTGTACTGCAGTTGTTGCACCTCAATACTAGCCACACAATAACTTGTATCTAGGCGTTGTTATAAAGGTGACTTGTAATCCAAAATTGTACGTCTTTAGAATAACTATCCGATTCACATGGCTATATGCCGAAATAGTATTAAGTCAAAATTGCAAGTCATCGAGCCGCTGACAACGCCAATAAAGATCAAAATCCTTGAGGGGTACAAAAGGCCAATACCAAGTAATGTGAAATCACTCAGCCTGTAGTTACGAGTCTGGCACTTTGGCTAGAGATCTTAGCTCTTCAAAGAGTCGCTAAAATAACTTTATAATACAGTTCCGTTGTGCATGCGAAAGAGTGCGGACGTGTCGAGAGAGCGCTCCGTAGGAAAGAGTAATTAAAAAGTAATTAAAGTAAAATAAAAGAAATGAAAGTACGAGGAAGTGAAAAAAGTGAAGAAGCAGCAGAGAAAAAAGTGTAAAGTTAATAATTATGAAAGTTTGAAAGGATGAAGTGAGATTAGTGTGGTAGTGTCAGGGTAAAGAGAACACGTGTAAGGCAAGTAAGGAGTGGGTAGTAAGAATAGGAGATAATAAAGAAAGGTATTAATGAGCGGAAAAACGAGAGACAAAAGGACAGGAAAACAGTGTTTAAGTGGTGATAGTAAAAGAAAAAGTGCAGTGAAGTTCGAAAGAAAGTTAGGTTAGAAAAGATATAACGAGAAGAAAGAAGCGGCAATTGGAGAAAGAGGTCGATAGAAGGGGTAATCTGAGAGGTAGATAAGGAACGTTTCTAAAAAAAAAGAAAAAATAATTGAGGTCGGTAAGGAAGGTCACTACTTTGTCGAGTAAAACTGGCAAATAAAGTTTCTGACTGATAGAAGTGGGTGTCAGTAAAGTAGAAAACTGCATTATCGGCAAAATTTGAAAATGGCCGGAAAGCCGCCTGCAGCAAGTATGAATACAAGAAATAATACAAATACAAAATTAAAGGAACAGACTCTATTGAATTTTACAAAAGAAAATCAGGAGAATAAAGAATCAAACGATAAGATGAGCAGGTTGGAAAGGAAGTTGGACAGCATGATTAGTAGTCTATAAAGAAGAGAAGAAGATTGGAGAGAGGAAAAACAGATGTGGATAAAAGAAAGGCAACAGTGGACAGAAGAAAAGAAGGCGTTAGAAGAAAGAATAAGCAAGTTGGAATGGGAAACAGAAAAAGCTGAGAGAGAGAAAAGGAGACCGAACATTGTTATAAAAGAAGCAAATATTGAATGAGAGAATCTGGAGAAGAAGGTCGAAGAATATATTGAACAAATGATAAAAATAAAAGTCAAGATAGAGAAGGCTAAAGTGATAAGTGTAAACGCTGGGTAAAATGTTAGGAAGTTGGTGGTAGTAAGGCTGGCAAGTGAAGAAATGAAAGAAGAAGTAATGAGAAATAAAAAACATCTGGAGAGAGGAGTTTACATAGAAAGCGATCTAACAGAGAGAGAAAGAGAGATCCAAAGATTTATTTTAAACAAGTCAAAAGAGCAGAGGAACAAAGGAAAAAATACAAAAGTTGGATATATGAAGATTTTGATCGATGGTAAATGGCTTAGATTTGATGAAAGGAAAGGAGATTTTACAGAGGAAAGAAGAAGGAACCAAGAATGAAGAGAACAAGAAGATGTAGAGGAGGAGGGAGTGAGAAGAAGAAATGTTAGTGTTTGCGCGTGGAACATTGCGGGAGTGCTAAATAAGGTCAGTGAAGTGTGGAAGTATTTAAGTGAATTTGATGTGATAATGTTAGTAGAGACATGGTTGGAAAAGGACAAGTGGACTAATGTAGAAAGTGAGTTGCCAAAAAGCTATGAGTGGAAGTGTATAGCAGCGACTGGCGAGCATAAAAAAGGTATAGCAAAAGGAGGAGTAATATTAGAAATAAGCAAAAAACTGGAGAGTAGAAATCATGAAGTATGGAGCGATAATATAGTATTGCAGGAGATTAAACACGGAAATCAGAACTGGAAGATCATAGGAGTATATAGTCAAAATGTAGCAGAGACGATGGGAATTATAAAGGAAAAAGTAAAAACGAAGGAAAGTGGATGCGTATTTATACTAGGAGACTGGAATGCAAGAACTAGGAAAGAAGGAGGTTGGATTAATGAAAGTGATAGTGAGAGTGATAGTGACGACAAGGACGTAAGGTTAAGAAAGTCCAAAGACGAAAAGATCAATGAGGAAGGTAGAAGACTAATAAAAGAAATAACAGAAGAAGGATGGTGTATAGTAAATGGGCAAAAAGGAGAAGAAGGAGAATTCACATACGTTGGTAGCAGAGGAGAGTCGGTAATCGATTACGCAAAAGGATGTCAAGAAGCGTTAGATCAGATTAAGAAAATAAAGATAGGACAAAGAACGGAATCAGATCATATACCGCTAGAAGTATACCTAGAAATGGAAGTACAGGTAGGAATTGTAGAGAAAAAAGAGAGAACAAAGGCAAGGAGGGATTAGACTCAAGAATTGATTGATCAGTATGGAGAAAGGTATAAAGACTGGGAGCGAAAGGGAAAAGAGATTGAAGAAAGATGGAGTGAATTGAAAGAAAAAATAGATAGGGCAGTACCTAAGGTGGAAAAACAGTGTAGAGTGTGGAAGATGGTTGATCAAAAATGGCACGATAAAGAATGGAAGGAGAAGATGAAGGATTCAAGAAGAATAATGAAAAGGTGGAGGAAAAAGAAAATAGAAAGAAGTTATTACATAGATGAAAAAAGAGAGTATAGGAACTGGTGTGAGGCAAAAAGGAAAAGGTTTGAAAGATTAGAAGAAGAAGAGATAAAAAATGCAACATCGGAAGGCGAAGTGTGGAAATATATAAACAAGTACAGAAAAAAACGAAGGAGAGAAATATCTAAAAAGTTCACAGTAGAAGAGTGGAGAAGGTACTTTATGGAAAAATTAGAAGGGAAGAATGAAGAAGGAATTGTGAGGGAAGAGACAAGAAAGGATGAGGCAAGAACAAATGCAGTGGATCAGGAAGAAATGAACAAGGAAGAGTTCGAGAGGCAGATAGCCAGATTAAAAGTAGGAAAAGCACCAGGAGAAGACAAGTTGGAAAATGAAGTGTGGAAGTACATGCCGGGAGAAGTGGATGCAGCTCTGTAGGAATTGCTGAAAAAAGTATGGAAAAAAGGAGAATTACCGGATCAGTGGAGGCAAGGTACGATTTGTTTGATTCACAAAAAAGGTGATTAAGATATGTTAGAAAATTATAGAGGAGTGACATTGACATGTACAGCATATAAGATTTATGCGAGTATGTTAAATGAGATGTTAAAAAAAGAAATCGAAGGTAAATTATCAGAAAGCCAGTTTGGTTTTAGAGAAAAGAGAGGAGTAATAGAAGCTATATATACATTGAAACACATAGTTGAGGAAAAATTAAGCAAAGAAAGAGGAAAATTATTTACATGTTTTATTGATTTAAAGGAAGCATTTGATCGAGTGGATAGGAAAGTTTTAAAGGAAAGATTAATAGAAATGGAAGTGAGTGAAAAGCTAAGAAATAGGATTGTGGATATTTATAAAGAAACGAGAAATGTAGTTAAAGTTGGAGAAGAGGAATCCAAGGAATTTTGGACAGAGAAAGGTGTGAGGCAAGGCTGCCCACTGAGCCCGACGCTGTTTAACGTGTACTTAGCAGATCTGGAGCAGGAATTAAAGAAAGGGCAGGTGGGAGGATGCAGAGTTGGTAATGAAAAAGTATGGAGTCTATCTTACGCGGATGATTTAGTATTAATAGCAGATAGAGAAGAAGAATTGAAAGAGATGTTAAAAAGATTCAAAAAGTACATAAATAAAAAGAAGATCATTTTAAGTGAGGAAAAAACGAAAATTTTAGTGTTCGAAAAAAGAAAGAGGAATGATAGAAGGTGGAAGTGGGGAAGTAAGGAATTAGAAGAAGGAAATGAAATAAGATATTTAGGATACATACTACAGAAAAATGGGAGAAACGATAGGCATATAGAAGAAAGGAAAAGGAAAGCAGTGATAGCTATGAAAAATGCGTGGAGCATAGGAGAAAGAATATTTAAGAATAGCTATAAAAGAAGAAGAAAATTATTCACAGCCCTAGTAGAAAGTATTGCGCTATTTGGTGCGGAAGTGTGAGGCTGGGAAGAAGAAGAAAGACTAGAAAGTGTACAGAGAAGATATATGAAATGGATATTAGGATTAGACAGCAATACACCAAATTATATAGTGGAGGAGGAGTGTAGATTAGAAAGGATGAGTATAAAAGCGTTAAGGAGAGCGTTTAAGTTTGAAGAGAAAATTAGGGAGTCAGACATAAAATTAGTAAAAGAATGCATAAGAGAAAAGGACAAGGACAAGGAAAGAGAGAGAATAGGAAAGGACTCAAAAAAGAGAGCTGAATTACTACGGGAAGAGAAAGTAAAAGAAACAAGATTTATGAAAGGAGTAGAATTTAGGGAGGAAGTAAGAGAAAAAATATTAATGAACAAGGAAAGAAAAGAAAAAGAGAAGAGAATGGAAAAGATAGAGAATTCACGGTACAACAGAACATATAAAGGTATAAGAACAGAAGATGAACCAGAATACTTGAAAAAGGATATGCCATTAAAGGATAGAAAGTTAGTAGCAAGGTTTAGATGCGGAAATGAATGCAGAAGTAGAGAATACTGGAAAGGAGAGGAGGATAAGAAGTGTAGATTATGCAAGGCGGAGGAAGAAGATCTTAGTCACATACTAAAGATTTGCGGAGATACGAGAAATGAAGAAGAAATGGAAAAAATACTAAGCCATGATGCAAAAGAGATAGAAGTGCTAAGAAAGGTAATCAGAAAAAGGAAGGAGTCAGAAAAGATCTAAAAGATAAAAGAAAGTATACAGAAAGTTAAGGTAGTAAAGAGAGAAGAAGGATTAGTAGGACAAGAAAGAAGAGAGAAAAAATGCAAGGAAGAATGAAGAATACAAAAAATATATGGATAATTTAAAGAAAAATGTTGTTAATTTTTAAAATTTTTGATAGTTAAGTAGTATTAGAAAATTTGTTTACGGAGTTAAATATAGAAAATTGTGATAATTTTGATAATTTAAGTTGGAAATTTTTAATTTTTGATAGGCATGTGTTTAATTTTGAATTGTGAGAATTGAGTTTTGTATAATTGGAATTGTAGTAATATTAAATTTGTTTTATTTTAATATTATATTAACAAAAGACAAGGTAGAATATTAAGAACAGTTGAAGTAAAAATGAATATATTATATAGCGTAGATTAGGTATGTATTAAATGTACAAAATGTCACGGAACCCCTCCAAACCCGTAAGGGACGGAGTATGAAATAAATTAATAAATAAAAAAAAAACTTTATAATAACGCTGTGTCTATTCGCATCTTATATGCACGCATCCGCATACACCTCACTCGTTTCGCTCGTTCGGAAAAAAAAAAAAACTTAGACCCTATAAGTACCGGACAGTAGAGTTGCCCACCGCATATGCGTATAAAATATATCCACGTGATTACGTGGATATACGGTACGAATAGACACTACATTATTATAAATGTTTACATATACATGGATGTAAATTACATATGTATTATTTCTTGTCCTCGTATTCTATATAATATGCTGGTAACCTGGCAACGACGAGGCTAATACAGTCTCGCTTACCCAATTCACCAGTTGTCTCGGCTATACAAGTAAGGTAGCGAGTGAATCTCTTGAAGAGTGCATCCTGGGGGTGATTCTCTAAGTAAGGAGTTGGCACATTAGCTCACTTACTAAGTATTAAGTCCTGGTGGACATTTTTGTGTGTTGACAAATTATCATACCTTATGCAAGTATGGACAAAGTCTCCCTCCAAAACTAGATATATATATATACACACACATACATAAGTAACCCGAGGTAGATCGTAACCTCGGCCAGAAACAGTGCAAACCTGATTTTAGAACTACGATCACCTCTCTAAGGTGACTCGTAATACCACCTCAGAGCATAATGCTCTCAGGTGTGTATCTACGAGTCATTAGTGTATCCAATCCTCATAAAGGTGTACCCCCCTACATACTAACTCATATAACTATCTTGCGTCACGTCCATACGCTTTAAATAGAATTATATAAATTCTACTATTAACAAATATAAAATATTGTAGACCCTCACAAACTATAAAATATGTATGGGTGATTCCACCGTAACTGGCTTAAATCGTGTCCAGAGCTCGTACGACGTTTTGAAACTAAAATTAATTATGCTTGCAGTTCCCAGACATGTTAAATGTTATGAATTCTGGATTAATTACAGATGGAACCGATTTCTTGTCCTTTTCACGAAGAAAATTGCAAAAATCATCTAAAAATGTCAGTTTCAACCCCTGTCTAAAACTTAACTTTTTAAACAAGACTCTCGCCTTACGAAAATAAAGCTTTTTTCCAGAATTTTGGCTCCTAGATTGTAAACTTTAGCTACAATAAATTATTTTCATACTGAAATTACACATGATTTTTGCAAATAATTAAGAACGTATAATGCATTATTTTTGTCCCTCGATTTACATGAATATTATGAATAGCATAGAAATAGCTTTGTAAAACGCTCAATTTAGTTCTGTAACGCCCCCTTACGGTAATTTTTCGAATAACATACTGTAACTTAAACAGTGCACTGGCTAATACAGCTAAAAATTAAAATCACCGGGACTGGCGAGTAAATTATTTCTCGTTTTTCGTGTGTACAAATACTTTGGTCAGTTCTGACCCTCCCCTAAAGCAGCCACTAGGTTTACTTGAATAGGTACGTAAACTGTACTTTCTTATACTATTTGGCAATGACAGATACTGTATAAGCGGAAAAGTCAGTGTGTCTCGTTCGTGGACAATCCGAAAGCTGTAAAGCTCGAAATGTCAGTTCCAACCCCCTGAAGTTTATAATCAATTGTAGTTAAGTTTCTATACATTTTTAGGTCTTGAGTCATTAGAAATTCAACTTTTTATCATTGAATATTTATTCTTTACATAGTTTTGAGACTTTTTCTGTATGTGGCTCGGAAACAGTGTTCAAAGAAGAACCAAAAAATCAGGATGATGATACATTGGAAAATTTAAATAAAATAGTCAGTGATTTGAATGCATTGAATTTGAGGTGGAGTAGCAGAGTACCCAAAGCCACTAAAACCGAAGCTGACTATACTTATTGAGTAAATAAGTCTTTTTTACCGAATATCTTAGCAAACTGTACTTAGCAAAAGTTCAATAATTATAATTTAGTATAGGAACAAATTAATAGTTGATGAAAAATAATGTGTTCAAATGTTAAAATACTAATCGTATTTATATAAAATGTTAACTATTACTAGAAATAATGATAAAAAACAATTTTTTATAAGTTATTGTAAAAAAATTAATCTTTGTGATAGTAAAAATTAAATATTTCACATGCAGTTGCAGTCTTTATATTTTAATTTGAAA